CTCTATACAGCTTTACTAATGTTTCCAGAGTTTGTTTCTGAGCACTTACATTTTGCTTTCAGTTTGAATCTTACCTTCGTAGAATTTAAAAGAAAACAACAAACCAACCAAAAAAAACCCCACCAAAAACTTCAGAGTTTGCTGGTTCTGTACTTCCTAATACCTAGTCATAGCAGAGTTAAAAGAACAGTAGAAAACTGTACAAGAAAAGCCAGGCTTCTGAGTGTAAATCTGTAATGCAGTTTTGCATTATAGATTTACAGCAACAGTCCTTTCGAAGGACAGGGGTCAAGCTTGTTATCTGGCATACCATACCTGTGCTTCAAAGACCAAATGTGCATTAACAGATGGCACTACCAGTCTGTATTCTAACATCTCAATGTGTTTAAAAGCAAGAGACGGTTCAGCTATGAAAGTATTTCTGAAAAATCACTCAAGCGAACATCTTGCCTCTAACATGACTTTTTATAAATTTTAGTGACATAATTCTAACAAAATGGCATTAAGAATGAAAGTTATTTTGACCATGAAGAAGACTGCAGACTCTTTAGTTTGGATCAAGGTGTTTGCTTGAGTAGCTCTTATCTTTGTGCAGCGACAGTGATTTTAATATGTAGGAAGTGACACACACGTATGTTATCAGGTCTGTGGTCTATGTATTCTGCTGGGTTGTTGCTGGAGAAAGTTCACTATAGCAGCAGGTTGTGCTTCAGTGTTTCCTGATGCAAGTTGCTTGAACTCTACACAATTGATGGCTGTTTTTATTATACATTGATATCAACTTTGCTGTTTAATCTAGATATTTTTTCTGTCAATTCATTCTTAAATACTTTTTATTTTTTCTTTATTTATGTATTTATTTATTTATTTACCTCAGCAGTGGCCCATGATTCAAAGGCTAATTGTATTCTGGCTTTAAAACCCCCAGCTTTTATAGTTACATCAGTCTTTAATCTCAAAAGGGGTGGGGGATTCATTGGTTTTCTGTAGTGAAGCAGGGCATTAGGAACACGTGGCTGCTTCTCTTCCTTTATTTTATATACAACTTGAGTAATGTTACTGATCATTCATTCTTTCCTGAAACTTTGTAGTTCTAATCAGGGTTTCCTCTTGTACCCAAGTCTCTCCAAGTCTTTAATTTATTTTGTCCTTCTCTGCGTCTTTTCTATTTGATGTATCCTTTTTCAGATGGGGGTGACCAAAACTGAACACAGAATTCAAAAGTGAACACACACTATTCAAGGTGAGGGAATATCATTAGTTTTATATAAGACATAATAATTTTTGGTATGTCTTTCTCCTTTAAAAATAAATACTGATGTCCTGTTTATTTTTGCTCCCAATTTTAAGATACTTTTCATGAGTAATCTGTAAAGTTGTCTAGAGTTTTGTTTTTTGGGTTTTTTGTTGGAAAGTTGGTTAATTTATAATTTATCAGTTCTTATGAGTAATTAATGAAAAATGTATGTTTATTTTCACTGCAGTTTACTATACACCATGTATGATCTACTGTCACTGTGTTGATCTGATTGCATATTTGAAATTCCTTCTGAAGTCCGTCACGAATGTACTAGAGAGCCAACTGTTCTGTATATCCTTCCTCATCTACAGATTTTGCCTTTAAATGGTTCATTCCCACTGCATCCTTCAGGTTACTGAAGTGTACTTGCTGTGGGTTTTGGTTTTTTTCTGAGTATTGCTACCTTGATTTGGATCCCTCTAGCCTGGGGTCTTTCCTGTGTTCTTGTACATCTCGTGAAAAGGTTTGCACTACTCCATGTTCATGATAAAGACTGGTAGTTGAAGAAAATGAATGCTACATGAGAATACTCATTAGAGTGCCTGCTACCATCTTTCATTAACTTACTCACTGCATCTAATCCATTTCTTAGCCCTCCTTTCTTTAGAGGAAAAATTAGACGTCTCACAACCCATATCTGGTCATCCCATTCATGAAGCTTATGCTGACATTATGCTGGTAATGGGAGTATGGAGGGCAGGAGTGTTATTCTCAGCTTTGTAATCTGTTTTGACTTTAACTCCTGCAAATTGGGTTTGTTCACATGAGTTTTCTTGATCCGTAGGGTGACTTTGACCATCTTACCCTTTTGATGACTTCTTTGCATTAGTATTTGTTATAGTGATGATGGTGTGTTGTATCCAGAGCAGATAATTATTAGGCATTGTTGTAATGAACAATGGTAAATAGGGGTAGTAACATTTGCCTTATGTGAGAAGCGTATCAATTTGGTGTTGCATGCTCATATTAGAAATGTCTCCATTTACCTTCAACTGTATAAATTTATAGAAGCCCAAACTTACGGAGAGCCAGTACTAAAGTTCTTATTCAGGATGTTTGAAATTGCAAAGTTAAAATGGCTTGTTAAGGCTTATATGCCTGCTTGGAAAGAATTTTGCTGCCAAACCTGTAATGAAGAGTTAGGACTGCCAAGGATATTCAAGCGTTCCTAGTGTCCAGCATCTCTGGAGTAGGCAATAACACTTGGGAAGGAGCTCTGTGCTCCTCATAAAAGCACTGTTACCTTCAGCTTCTAGCGTGGAAGTTGGTATGGGTGATGGCTAAAGGTTTTGGTCTTGGAAAGAGATCACATAGATGTATTGAAAAGAGTGGGAGACAGGAGGGGAGGAAGGCTATTTATATATTCTTTATATACTCTTCACTCATACAGAGAGTGGCAACCTGGTGGCCATAAATAAAACAGTGGCATGTGGGAGACAATAGATACATTTCGTACTGCCAGAAGAGAAATGGAAATAAAAATTGCTCTGTCTTTTTAATCTCACTTCCTTGATCTGTAAGGGGGGTTTGTGTAGTGTGCATGTGTTACGGGACCTCCAGTGGGAACAGAGTTGAGAAATTACACGTGCACTCAACAGAACTTTTCATAAAACCAGCAGTTCTGGGAAGCTGCTGGTTTTACTTATTTTGTGCTAAGGAACACACTTATTTCCTTTCCCTCTTTTTGTGTGGGAAGTCAGGCGCTGGGAAGTGAGGAGCACCAGTCTTGCCTCTCTTTAAATACATCCCTTTTCCTTAGACTTCTTAGTGCTTTTACTGGTGTTGCAGAACCACTTGGTACCCATGAAAAATTAACAGATGACTGTATTTTGAAATGCTGTAAATATTCTTTTTTTGGTGGTCATGTCTACCCTTATCCTTCTTCAATTTGCAATCCTATCCCTCAAAAGAGACGAGCGACAGACCGACTGACTGCGGCTATTTTTGTAGGGTGCACATATTAACTGTTGAGTAAATGTAAGAGGTTTTAAAGAGCTTATTTTAGCAGAAGCATTTGTGAAAGCCCCTATATCCATAGGCTGTGTGTATACTCATTAACTATTCAGGGTTGTAACATAATACAACAAAAGGAAGCGTATTTTAGCAGAGATCTGTAACAACCGTGCACAGGCTGCCACCCAGCTGGTGGCTGAGGGCAGCCATTGATTACTACTATTTCTAGTCTTGTGGCATCTAGACGTATTAAATTTATTTCTTGGATAATGAAACTAGCTAACACTTACTGCAGTGGCATGATCCTGCATCACAAAAATACATATGGTTGATCCCCAGAAGTTTTTATTGTAATCAAATCACTGTCGATGAACGTGCAGCCTTGGAGCTTGGAGTATGTCTGTGTGCAGCGTCTGCCAACTACTCCGTGTGGAAAGGAATGGTGATGTTTCAGCTCTTCATTGGCCGTATAGCCACAAAATAGCTTCTCTGCCCCAGTGTTGCATGAAAATAACAATCTGTTCCCGATCCAGTACAAGTTGGTGAATTAAAGACTATTTTGATAAAGGTAAATGTCAGAGGAGAAGATAAATGAGAATATGTAGGAGTTCATTGTGGTTGGAGATCGTTTTGTATGTGGAAGGTCAGTGTGACACACCAGCTTGTGCTGAAGTGTAAGATTGTTAAGCTGTTATACGGGTCAGAAAATGTGATTTTTCCCCGACCAGTTGCAAGGGGAATTACCCTGACGGTTTTAACCACCTTCTCCCTGTTCTGTGACATGTTAAGCTTACAGATAGTCTGTTTTAAAAGTAAATCACTTCATAGTGTGATACTTGAAATAATACTTTATGTCTCTGGGTATCTTTCTCTACTGGCATGCGGATAGATTTTAATACTTTTCTCTTTTGTTAGTAGATTGAATGAACTGAGAGGGAAGGTTTAAAAAGCACAAACACAATTAAAACGGGTATCTGTGAAATACTTGAGTTATGTTCCACTTGAACAGAGATGTTAAAAGCCCCTTTAGCAGCTGTGTCAATGCCATTTTTCCTGGGTTTTGAGTACAGAAAAAAACCTCAGATGCTGTTGGTTAAATAATTCACATCTATTTCAGGTGAAAAATAATACCTGATACCTTTAGCAAGTGCGATGTTTTCAAGTATGTGATTTAAAAATCGATCACATTGAATTGATGTGAGTGCATTAAGGGATTTGCAGTTATGTAATTAAATTGGTATTTTAAAAAGCTTTAAGTGTACTGTCCAGTTGGGAAGTGTACAAGTGGATTTTCAGGTAAATCTTGTTTGGTTGGGTTTTGAGATACATGCCTGTATTGTGTTCAGAATGGAGTTACAGGCGTGTGACACTGAGTGGATGAATTGTTTGGGACATACGGGAGGAAAGGCAAAAGTGTTGGATCAGCAGCGTGCTGGTTTTCAGGCATATCAATGATTTCATGTATGTAGCAAACTGATACTTGTAGGAAGAAAACCCCCGACGTCTTGGAGCTGTAAAGTTTTGCCACGGATAAGGACAAATGCATTTGCTGATGCTATGACTTTATTGAAATAATCAGCCTGTGTTTTCAAATAATTTTGAAATTTATTTATTTGTTTTCAAATAATTCTGAATAATATTTGGGGTTGTTGTTTGTTCTTTGTTTTGGGTTTTTCTTTGTCATGTTGGATTGTTGAATTACTGTTTTTTCCCAAGAAGAAATACAGTAACCATGTTTAATTTGCAGAGCACCAGAGATCATACTGGGATTGCCGTTTTGTGAAGCCATAGACATGTGGTCGTTAGGCTGTGTGATTGCAGAGCTGTTTCTTGGATGGCCACTGTACCCAGGAGCACTGGAATATGACCAGGTAGTAAAATAGATTTCACAAGCATGTGCACACTTTTGGCAACTTAAGAATTTCAGATCATTACATCCAGGATTTCAGATGTTCATAATATCCCCTATGAAATAGTATTTCTTCAAGTCTGTTCAATGCTTTTAATTTAGTCTTTATTGATTGTCCTAGAAACATAAATCTTGCTTCGAGACAGAACTGTATATTGTGATGCTTTTCTGCATGAAATTGCAATTTTTCCTTTTTTTTTTTGTTTTTGTTTTCCCTGTCTTGCAAAATAAATCTTAGTATTGGAGCTGCTTTTCCTGACGCAAACCAAAGCTTGTGGCTACCATCATTGCATTATAATCTCTCTTTTACTTGCAAAGGGGATGACTCTTGAATGCTTGTTCATATGTCAAGATTAGTTGTCTTCTAAATAGTTTCTGATGCTTTCTGGAAATCCAACATAGCTCAACGATTTCAGAGCCTATACTTTATGAGACACGAGAATCAACCATTACAACGATACTGTATATATGCAGTGGCAAAGCTTAAAGATGTGCTGTTTGTGTTGTTGAAGTTTTCAGCTACTGACACCATTGGCATTAGTGAGATGACGTAAAAAAAGAATATTGTAATGAACGTTGTAGAACACTTTCTATTTAGAACACTTAAGAGAGAGAAGTCTTTAATTTTTCTAGTATAATATGGTCATTTGAAAGGAGCATAATCAGCATTCTGACTATCCCCAACTGGTTTGGAACTTTGACAGTGAAGGAGTGCCAGGTGTAACAGCACTGGAGTTTTACTAACTGCTGCATCCATTCAGTTCAGGGGCAGTTCCCCCAGCATGTTCTTTAGGTTATTTAAATCGTGATCCTCATGTAGTGAATGAGCTTTTGGCTCCCTGTGTTTACAGGTCAGACTACTTTTCTAAAAATTAATTTGTCAAAACCACTGAGTGGATATATTGATTTTGGTAACAGTGCCTATTTCAGTTTACTTCATTTACACATAAATTCAGTGTTTCATGGAAGTAAGCTGTGGGGTGATGCTTCAATGCATTTAGAAGGCCTTTGTGCATGGTATTGCAGTTAAAATGGAGAAGGAAAAAGGAAACTACTAACCACCATATAATTCACTATGCTTTTTAAGGAAAAAGTGGGTTTTGGAAGGAATTTGTAGTAGTGACTCAAAAATCTCCAAGAACTTGGCAAATTTATTTACATCTAGTTTTGGAAGAAACTGCAGGAGAAGATCTGGACTTTCAAGTTAAAAAAACAAAGGGAGGGGTGCAGAACGTGTGATTTCCAGGATTACATCCACTTTGATCCCTGCACTGCTGTAACTAGTTGTTAAAAGGGATGCTGCTGTGGGAGAGGAAGGACTTGTAAGCCCAGTTCATGGTCTTCTGATCATGATCTCACATGTAGGCAGATGCTGCTTCTGGATGTGGAACAAAGATTTGGACGAAGTCTTCAGTTGCTTGTGATGAAGTAGGGGTTCGAATGGTTGAAAAGGCTGCCTGTGTCCTGATTCTGTGCTCAAATTAACTTGTCATTTGTCATAATGGCAGCAGCCCAGACTGTTAATTAACTTGCGCCAACAGGCTTACATAGCTGTGAGCCTCTGGCTCTTGCACAGAGAGCAGTAACAGCATAAAGCTCTGTCTCATGATCATGAGGATCTTTATTCAGGGTGATACAGAGTCTCACTTGAAAAGACAGGACCTCCTTTCCCCTGCAGCGCTGCAGCCAGCTTGTCGTGCACAAAGCCCAGGCAGGTGAAGGCGGTCGAGTACGGTGCACAGTGCCTTCCTTTGTAATGCTGGATGGCTTGTCTCTGCACAGCTTGAGCAACCCAGGTCCTTGGGACAGTGTATTCCTGTCACTTGTTTTTTGCCATCGTAGGCCCAGGGCGAGCATGGCTCAACCTCTGGGTACTGCCAGACAGCGCATGTGAACAGCGTTGTCGCCAGTGGCAGCCACCCCGCAGCATGCTGCTGTACTTCATGCAAGTAACTGTATGGATGAGGGTTAATCTTCGTGCCCATAGATTTTTCTGTTTGCTTTATGGCTTTAAAAGATGTCTGTGCACACTGATGTTTTAATAAAAGACATTTATGTTTTAATAAAGAAAGACATGGCAGCCAAGTTTGCTGGAAGCATCAGTTAGTAACTCATTTAGCAACTTGCCTGAGCGTCATGTTTGAGAAGCCCTGGTGGAAGAGGAGCTGTAACCTGCACCAGCAGGAATTAACTTACTTTAGTCAGGCTCGTCATTGTGCTTAAGGAGGTCTGCAAAACTTGCTTCAGAGAAGCCCAATTCCAGGGGTTTCCTCACTGTACGCGAGTGTAGCAGTTGTAGGAGATGGCTCCCAAGGGAACTCCTTTCCTCCTCCTATGTGGTGCATGTCACCAGTAAATAAACAGGCAAAGGCTTTGTGCTGCCATTTCCCCCTGTCCTTCTGGTATGTAGCAACCAAAGTGCTGGCTCGTGAAAGGAAGCTCTTAGTTATTACTAGTGATTATAAGCAGTAACAGCTGTACTTCTCAGTGGGAAATGGCCATGTCTTCTGAACTTTAATACTCATTAGAAACAGGCACAGGTGCTTAACTGCAATGTTTTTGAGTTAGTGCATTGTCTGTTTTGCCCCAGTTTTGAAGACTTTATAGTATGCTTAGAGAACAACTAAATGAACTAGAAACATTGCTGGTCAGAGTGAGATTCTCTTTATGGCCTCAAGCTGTGCCAGGAGAGGTTTAGATTGGATATTAGGAAAAATTTCTTCCCGAAAAGGCTGATCAGGCGTTGAACAGGCTGCCCAGGGAAGTGGTGGAGCCACCATCTCTGGAAGTGTTCAGAAACTGTGTGGCTGAGGCACTTAGTGATGTGGTTAAGTGGTGGCCTTGGCAGTGCTGAGGAAACATTGGACTTGATGATCTTAAAGGTCTTTTCCAAAGTAGTTGATTCTATGATTCTATGTAGGGATTTATGGAGGATGCCAAATTCCAAAAGTTGGCAACACTGCATTTAGTTCCATCCTGCTTCGTTCTGTCACTTCTTCAGCAGAAGCCTTGTGTGTACCTTTCCTCTCTGCTGCCAGTGAGTTTTCTCCTCTCAGGTGCCCCTGGCTCTCAAGTCCTCTGTCTTCCATTGAATTCATCTTCTCATCTCCCAGTTTCTGGTTCGGTGTTTTTCACTGCTGTCTCCTGTTGATTTTTTTTCCCCTTTCTTCCATTCTCTCTTACCCCTCCCTGCTCTGCGTTTTCCAGGGGTTGGCCCACACCAGCAGCCCCTCTGTGGAGGTGTGTGGCGTCGGAGCATGCCCAAAGCCCTTCAGCCCTTGCTCCTTTCTCACCTTCAGCCCTGGCTGCTGGAATTCTTACTCCCTCCATCCTGACTTGCAACCAGCTCTGTTTTCCTTTAGTGCCAATCGTTACTCCAGTGTTAGGTTTCTCTTCTGCGTAAGATGTAATTGTCCAAACGTGGTGCTCTGAGGGTGGTTAATTTTGCTGTTTTTTAAATGAAATGACAAGTTTTTAACTGGATCAGATTTTGAACATTAGAGGTAATTTATTTCCCGTTTTTCTCTTTCTGTCTCAGATTCGTTACATTTCACAGACTCAAGGTTTGCCGGGAGAGCAGTTGTTGAACATGGGGACGAAAACCGCAAGATTCTTCTGTAGAGAAACGGATGCACCATATTCTAGTTGGAGATTAAAGGTAAACAGTGTAAGGTAGTAGAAAATCGCATATTGTTTTGTGAGCAGAGAAAGGAGAGAGACCAAAATTCACTCCAGTGCTGTTACTCCCTTCTGCATCTCCTGTGTGTTATATCAGGCCCTGCTCTGCATCCCTTCCATTTTTCCCAAATCAGCAACCCAAGCTCGTGCCCATGTTTCATCCCTCCAGAGGTACTAAATGACCTTTGTTTTGATTTGTTTTGCCTCTTGGCCTGTTACAACTTTTCTGTTTCGTGCCCGAACTGCTTTGTCAAAATTCATTCAAAACCAGCTCCAGGATCAGAAGTTCCTGGGAGAAAAAGGAGATGAAGAAACAACATGACCATGTGCAGCTTGTTTCCTTCAGACCTGCTGAAACAGTCCTTGCTAGCTGAAAGCTGCAGTACCATGAGAGCAGATGAAATATAAAAATGTACTTTGGTGGTCTGCACACCTTGCTTCTCTCTGAGCAGCACCACTGATGGGTGATCGCATTCATTCTCGAGGATTAAAATTGTTTCCAAATTCAGTACTTAAAATATACCAACTGTGTGTACGTGTATGTATAGAAGTATAAAAATAACAAGAAGAAATGAAAGCAAAGAGAAACTGAACAGTCTGCCTGGTTTTTACTTCTTTTGTTGTTTTTTTTTACAGTGATGTATTGCTGCTGTTTGGAGTTAAAGGTCTGAGTTTGAGGAAATGGTTAAAATACAAGTAATAGAAAACTTGTGATTAAATATAAGCTCACAAGAGAGTTACTGAACAACTCTGCCAGGCTTTCAGCACTTCCTGCGTGATTTCCAAACCATCTGTTGTAATCCAGTACTGTGATCAATCAGACCTGAAATTTAGTAGTTCTTTTATTTTGATTTAGCAAATGAAAGTAGTCAGCAAAGCAGCATCCAAATACACAATTGAAATGTTAACTAAAAAAAACCAAACCCCAAAACAACAGCTTTTTTTAGGCCAACACATGAAATTACTTTGTAGTTACAAGTGACCTTTATTGTCAACTTCTAAACTCAGCTTTTCTTTTCTATTTGGAGACATTGGAAGAGCACGAGGCAGAGACAGGTATGAAGTCTAAAGAGGCCAGAAAGTATATTTTCAACAGTTTGGATGATATAATGCACGTGAGTATGAAAGTGTTTTTCCTTTGGCAAAGGGTGGGAGTGAATGGTGACTTGAAAACATCTTAGGTTTGAAATAAACACCTTTTAGAACATTATTGTGCATCAGTCATATCTGTTCTCCTCTGTATATGTTGCTCTGAGGAAAATGTCTGCGTCAGCCCTTTGGGCTTTTTATAAAGATCTTCCTTGTCATTGCTTCTGTTAAACATTGGTACTTGTCCTTGGGGTGGGGAAACCCTTTAATTTTGTGTATAATGTGTACTTTCTCTTTGGCTTTATATGCCATACTGGATAAAAAAAGAACACATATGGAGTCTGTTATCTTAAATATAGAATTTCCAGTATAATTCTGCCATCTTAACAATGTAATTCTCATTATAATCCTTTTTATTTTTAAACAAACAACCATTTCTTCACTTTTCTTTAGCTTTATAACTGTCTAGTCAATAACAAAAGTAGATTTTTCATTCTCTTCCATATCCTGAAAAGAGAATAAAATCTTTTTTGCAAGATTAGCATTAATACGTGTTTGAATTTGATTTTTTGAATATGATCTTTGTAGTTTTAAGTTAGATCCTATAAAGATCTTTATCCCAAATCTTACTACATCACTTCTAAGCCCCCAACTAGAATAAGCCTTCAGGGGTTTTTAGCTGGGGAGGGTGAAAAGGGAGTAGTGTGTGTGCAAAAAAAAAGTCATCAGTTCCAAGCCAACCGCACTGGTTTGAGCTGGCAAACTCGCTGTGCCCCATGTGATAAAATCGCTGAATGTTAGTGTTTTACAGCAGAAAGCAGTAACGTAGAGTTCAACTTATACATGTCTTCTCTCTGATTGTTTTGTTCAACGCCAGGTGAACATGGTGATGGATTTGGAAGGAAGTGACCTGTTGGCAGAGAAGGCAGATAGGAGGGAGTTTGTCAGTCTGTTGAAGAAGATGTTGCTTATCGACGCCGATTTAAGAATCACTCCAGCTGAGACCCTGAACCATTCTTTTGTTACCATGAAGCACCTCCTTGATTTTCCTCACAGCAACCAGTACGTAACACACACAAATTACTTGAAGTCTCTGCTGTAGTGATTCGCGTGTGTAATAGTGTTGTTTCTTCTGCTGTCAGAGCGACAAATCTTGTGTTGTTTTTGTAACATCTTAGAGAATTCTTTGGAGTGCTTGCAGTGTCAGAGACGTCTGCTCAGTCTGGAAACTGTTTGAATCACTGGGGGGGTTTTATTTTTCTGAGAAGCAGCATTCAGAGCAGTAGATGTATCAAACGAGTTATCGGGTTTATGCCTGGTTGTTCCGACACTGCAGAAACTTGGGCTTGATTTTTTGGCAGTGTGAAGAACGTTGTTTCCGTCAGTCATGGAGAGCTAGGGTTAGGCGCTTCATCTTGAGGTGAATGCCTTGGATACCGCCTTCCGTGCATGAGTTCACATGGAATATATTGAAAGTTTTTTCTTGCAGTTATGGAATTGTGTGTTTCAATCTGGATTTCCTCAAGTGCAAGCATTTCACTGAAAGAAGGAGCTTTCCATCCATTTAGTTTACTCTCCTTCCTGCTTGTACGCAGCTGTTACAAATGGTGTTAGATGCAAGGAGCAGGAAATAGCAGTAGTTTTCCCTGATTTTGAAATATGCGTTACAAAGGCTTGTCATGAACATCATCATAACAACAACAGTATTTCTTTTTTTTCTACTACTATGTCCCACGGGAAATGTGGGCTTCAAACTATTTTTTGTTTTCCTTGCTCTGGGGAATTGTTTTATACATTTAACAACATGACATGCTAATTTAAGCAACTTTATTTTCTGGTTTTGATAGAGTGAAGTCCTGTTTTCATATCATGGATATTTGCAAATGCAGATCGAATTTGTATGACTTAAGTAATCGCAATAAAACATCACTTATGAGACCAGTTGCCTCAGGCAGTGCAGCTAACCTGACTGCGAGCTTTACCAAAATTGGTCCAGTGAGGAGTCAGGTAAAAACACTTGTTTGTTTTTATTTTTTATAATGCAGTTTCTCTACTTAATTTCATACCTTATAAACAAGTGTATCTTTTAAATGACAAAATCTTTTTACTGTCGTTTTTTCTTTGTGTTTTCTAAAACGAGCCATTTAGAATTATGTTTCAAAAGTAAGTCACCGACAGCCACAGCAAAGCAATGCTGTGTTGCAGTGCCCTCCGGTGGCCAAACGGCATTACTGCCTGTGAAATGTCCGAAATCTTTAATTTTTAGACCTTGATTTAGTTGTTTATTGTATAAACTGGTGGGACAAGTGTGTGAGAGATTTCGATTCACAGTTATGATGTTGCCTGTATTGCATCTGTTCCCATAGGCATTGACTGCATCTGCCCATTCAGTTTTGCACCAAGGGATACCACTGCAGGCAGGGACTGCTCAGTTTGGTTGCAGTGATGTTTTCCAACAGGCTTTGATTATATGTCCTCCAACTCTTCAAGGTATGTTTAACTGTAATTATTACAGTTCCTAAAATACAAGTGTCACTGTCTGTCTGTTAGCAGTATTGGAGTTTTCCATTATATCCACTTAAGCTATATATTTAAAAGAATCTAATTTTATGATGAAAAAAAATAGCATGTAAGTCAGGTCCAGATACACTGCACCTTTCTGAAAGAAACAGCAAATCAGCATCTGCAGAAAATGATTTAAACAGTCCAGACTCCATCTTCATCTACCACACGTACGCACATATATATGTATGTATATATATCTTGGTTAAAATAGAGGATCACAATGTAAAAGCTGAAGCAAAAAAGGAGGGTGTTCTGAGATAAAAGTTTGAGAGGAAACGAGAAAAATAAAGGGAATGTTAGTGTTGTGGTGGTTTTTTATAACACTTCTTTTGGCAAATCTGGACAATAAGGTTGGGGGTTCTTATTGGACTTCCAAGTGAAGTTTAAGATGTTTAAGAAAAGTTTATGATGTTTAAGAAAATTTTAAGATGTTTAAGAAAACATCTTAAGGACATAGGTGCCCAATGTAAACAGAGTCACGTTTACTGTCCTATGGTTATGATGAACCAGGACAGCTACATGGAACTGCCACAGACTTCTCATGTCTGAAAACTGCATCACTGAATCTTTGAGAATTTTCCTTGCGTTGTGCTATGAGGAGGAAAGGGCAGCTTGGCTGAACTCTCCTGTATTACAAAGGGTAAGATTGATTTAAGTGTACAATTTTGTATTTATTATAAGAAATAATTGGCTGAAAGTTCAGTTCTCGGAACCATTTGAAAGATTGCAAGATGGAAATGCTAGTACAGAAGTATTTCCCCTGTGTAGAAAATGTGACCAAATAAGCGTAGGCGTCTCTGGAAGGACACGTGGTAATGCAGTTGACCTCTGTTTCCCTAAACAAATTAATTTGTATCACGCAAATGTAGCTCTTAGTTTTTGGAGGAGTTTGTATTTAGTCTCATTTAGATCTTGGAATGTATCAAGCAAAAGTTGTTTTTTCTTTTTGTAAGGGAGAAATGACAACAAACAAACCAAACAAAATGCCAGAACACTTTCAACCCAAACTTAGAGCACAGGAAGTCTCTTATCTTTTTAGATAAAGACAGATACAGCAGGCATTATTAGTAACGTTATTTGTGGCTGCTGCGTCTATCTTGGGTTCCTAAGACTCGTGAAAGCTCCAAGTAGTCACTGTGCAGTGTCAGAGGCTGTATGAGCTAAATGCATAGTTTTTCTGCTGAGCACTTGATGTGGCTAAGTAATTTCTTATTTAAATTGTATATATGCTTTAGACAATGACATATTGCATAATTTAAAAACCCTACTGTTTTCATTATTTTCAGATGAATGAAGTGATTATGGAAAAGGAAACAGTACAGGGAATATTTTTATCTGTGATCTGTATACTGTATTCTTAGTATAATGATAAGCTTCCAAATTTAAATTCTGCTACAGCTTGAATGAAAGGAATATATTGTGTCCATCACATAGGTGACAAGTTGAGTTGCTGGCGTGGAGGGAAAGGGATATTAATGGTATCTGGCACTGCTTCAAGGTTTCCCCGCTTGGCTGCTCTGTTGAATATCTGAAGTGCTAAAGCTCACTACTTCTGGCAGAGTGAAGATGTTGCTCTTCTAGAGGGCTGTGTGGAAAAAATTCATCAGCAGTGTTTCAAAATTAAAAGCTGTGGACTGCATGGTTATAACTTAGTATTGTGTTATGACATGAGAATTACATCAGATGAAGGTTTTCTTTCATCCTTTATTGTAAAGATATAAAACCAAACCAAAACACTTTTAACCTTTAGTTCAGTAGTTACCTCCAAACACCTCTTGCTTAGTCTTTGACTAAAACACAAGACACTAAGTGCATTTAGAAGATGTGAAATCAGTATATTTGCCTGGCCAGTATTTTTTTTTCCCCTAGCGTAACTGTTCTGTTACAGTATCTGTTGAAAAAATGTCCTCTTTCACTTTTAACATTATGATGTCAAAAATTGCAGGGTTGCTGTACATCTGTTAGTTTCCTGTGACAATCATGAAATACATACAGAGCATGAAATGCATCTATTTTCTATTATGCTCTTGTGTTAATATTCTAACAGTGCTATGGTATGCATTATTATGATGAAGAGAGGAATAGATTTATGGATTCTACTGCAAATATTTGATGGTATACACAGAAAGTTTTGTATTGTTTCACACAAAAGAGGTGGTAACAAATAGGGACATCATAACGCGTGGCATTGCCAGCTATGAAAGTGGAGAGGAATGGATTTCAGGTAGCTGGAAATAGAGAGCATGAGATGTGCAAGATTCACTTGTGAGAAGCTTTGAAATCCAGTTCTACTTACTTTCTGCTTCCTTTCCAATGCTTTTAATGTAACCTCTGTGATCAAGAGTGAACACTTAGCTCTGCAGAGCTTTCTGCCAAAGTCATTGCAATTTCTTGTAGTCTGTTTCCAAGCAAATAGCTATTGGCAGTTCCTTCTGGAAATTACAGCATCAAATGCTTGTGCAGGTAAGTAATGGCACACATCTTTTAGGTGTTGATTTATTTGGCTCAAAAGTCTTAATTATGGAATCGGATTGTAAACACATAAAAAAGATGTTATAAAATTATCTTTTATGTTTGCATTTTGCTCAGAAAGTATAGGCAAGACTGGTGTTCTGCTGAAAGCTGAACACATGCTGAAAGGTGTGTGTTTTTCTCCCTGTTAGGAATTCCTACAAACCATAGTAAGCCCACCAGTTTCTCCCTGAGGGTGGATAACGCAGTTCCGCTGGTGACCCAAGCCCGTGCAATTCAGCCACTACAGATTCGGGCAGGAATCCTTTCTCAGGTTGGCTTGCTTTCAAGTAAAAATCTTACTTGTTTTATTACCAGTTGGCAAATACTTTTGCCCTGTCAAGTTCTGTTGCAGCCCCTTTTCTGTTTTGTGCTGGACTACAAGAAGCTAATGTCAATTCAGTTGCTCCCCATGTCATGAAATGTTCTTTGCTTCCAGCAGACATGGTCAAATCAGACCCAGCAAATACTGGTTCCTGCGTGGCAGCAAGTAGCGCCGGTGGCAGCTCCTGCTACATCTCTGGCCTCTGATCCTGTGGCTGGCCCACAGAGGCTTGGAGACTGGGGGTAAGCCCACGTGTTTGTGTGTGACACCTTAATGGCTTTGATTTAACGAGATCTATGGACGCTGATGGAAATGAGTTGCAATATCAAACTTCCTTTACTTCTCCTCAGAAAGATGATTACCCAGGGCACCCATTACGGTTCAGTGATACCGCAGCCTCTTCTAACACATCAGATAACCTTGTCTGCCCCTCAGCCAATTAGCGTGGGCATTGCACATGTTGTCTGGCCTCAGCCTGCAGCTACCAAGAGGAACAGACTGTGTCCGAACAGGTTGGTAGAATGTTTCTAACATTCAAAGATGGTGCTGTCATTGCTGTTCAGTAGACAGGGAAATAGCCTGTAACAGTGGCATGTTTGTTAGCGACAGTTGTACTTAAACAGTCTTTTGGGAAGATTTGTCCTTTCTGCCCAGTATTTTCAATTTGGTTTGGTAATACAGACTAGGCGGAAAAATACTTGAAATGGTAAGAGGTTTTAGCTCCTCTTGATTAGTATGTGCCTCTCATGATAGCAAAGTTGTCTTCATAGCCTTTGGGAAGGTAAAAGAATATACTGAGGTAGCACTAAATGAGATATTCCTAAACTTATGTTGATGAAGATGTATCAGATTTAGACAACTCAAAATAAAGAGATACTGTATATTAGGGTTGCAGTATGCCTTACAATCATCTTGGGAAGTTTTTCTTTTCCTGGTAGACAAAAACACTTCAGCTGCTTGCTGAAGAAAATATGCTCCACTGCTATACAGAGTATTTGCAAAGGTGTGGGAAAGAAAGGGCAGTATCATCAGTCATGTATTAAGCTGGTAGCCTCTAGGTGAAATCCTTGCTTTTGTTTTCAGGGAGAATCTTTGCAGGAAATCTGGCGGTTTTCAGGTCTGTTGCTACGGATTCACTGAATGTCAAATGGTGTTTTTTCTTCACAGGAGCAATGTGTTACAAAATACCAATATCCAAAATTCAGCCTTTATATCTCCAAAGATACTTAACCTGAAGGCTGTAAAGAGAATAAGTTGTATAGAAGCACAGGACAATCTTAACTCAGAAGGACGGGAAAGTGACTGTTGTGAAGCATCAGTCAGGCTGGATCCTGATTCACCACTTGCAACCAAACAGCGCCAGGCTATCTTCATTGCCAGCTCCCCCAGCCCAGCAGTCAGCGTGATCACCATCAGCAGTGACACAGATGACGATGACATAGGACGAACACATTCACTCAGAGAGTAAGAATCGACGAGTACCTTTATTAAGGTGCTACTTAAATATAACTGTCTTAGCACAGCTACTGCATTTATTGACTCTGCATTCAAAAAAAGACAAAGAGTGCATGTCCAGTCAAATTTCACTAAGAAGGTAACTCTGTAGCAGTGTATTATTTGAAAAGGAAAAATTCTTTCAGAAGTCTACATCTTTAATCTGTGTATGTTAGGCATTTTCAAACCAGAATGCTCCCAAGTACAGCATGCTTTTTCATCATAATTCTGTCATACCCGATTTATTTGTTGAAGGTTAGTCTTATGGCTTTGTATAATCAATGGTATCATTCTAGCTGTAGCATCCAGTAGATAATATTACATTTATATGAGTAAAAAATACTTGTCTAGCAGTGTGAAAAGGTGTGCATTTGAGTATAAAAGCAGATGCCGAGTGTGGTCCCCCAAAGGGGTTTTCTTTCACAGAGTTATTAAAGGAGCACTTATCGTTTTCAATGAGGGCTTAAAAGTTTAATGTTTGTTTGACTTTATTTTTACTTGTAATGATTCTGAACTGGAGGAACTTGTATTTTAAATCTAAACTTTGTCAAATGTTTCAGAGCACTGAACTGTTCTAAAAGCTTTAGTTTATATGGGTTAGTATTGATTCAGTGAAAAATTTTTCCTTTAGTAGGTTTCCAAAAATGCATGTTTAGTCTGGAATTTCCAGGTAACACTGAAAAGGTTTAAAATCTGTTTTGGATGTAAAAGACAAAAGGAATTGGATATTAATTTACATTTAAGGGATCTTTTCTACTAGTTGGCCCCCTTTTATTCCGTAATTACACCTAAGTCAGTGACGTATGGAAAGAACAAATGAGAAGTGGGATGTGTGCTCACTTTCTTTTTGTGTGGTAGGTGTAAAGGCAGCCTCGACTGCGAAGCCTGCCAGAACACCCTCAACATTGACCGCGTGTGTTCTCTCAGCAGTCCTGACAGCACTCTGAGTACCAGCTCCTCTGAGCAGTCTAGTCCATCTCCTTGCAAGAGATCCAACAGGTAAAACATCGTGCTACTTTCAGTAAAAAGAGGTCCTAGTATAAAGCAGACTCAGCTTGTACTACAAATAGGGGAAAAAAAAAAAAGCAAGAGTTTTTTGTTACATTGCCATCTGGTAAGGCTGAATGATGTGTTTAAAAATTAATCTATTGGCCTACAGTTGAACAGCATAGACTCTGCTTGTATTGCTCCTGACAGATCTGTCTTGCTACACTGGAACTTTTCAGAATACTGAATGAATGATGTTTATACAGAAGATACAAACATCTTGCATGCAGCTTCCTATAGAGCAAAAATCTTCTGTGGTTGCAAAATTAAGTAAGCCAAAGTAGGATGGTGACAGATTTGAAGTTACCAGAACATCTTTAATTTTTGCACCCTCTTGTTCTATTGTATATCTTGTAATCTTCAGTGATATTGATGCCTTTTTTAGTTCTACCAACCATAAGCATCACTTATGTGAACACTGTTCATATGAGCAGAATTAAAATATCATCTTTGATGTCTAGCTTAAGCCTTCATTTTTGCACATTATTCAAAATTCACTCTTAGAGAAACATTCAACGTAAATCTGAATTATTCTGTGGTGCTTTTTTCTACAGTATCTGAGAGCTTGACACTAAAGCATTTATCTGTATGATACTCATAAGACATGGACCTGCGACACAGTCACAAGTTGCCACTGACTTGGGATGTTCTGGCTGGGGCACCTGCAGCTGGCTTTCCCTCTTATTTTAGTCCTTGCCATTCTGGTGCTAATATGCTGAAATTTTAATTGTAGCTACTCGTGGCACTTTTACAGATCAGATTCCTGGGTATGAGTCTGTGGACCAAGAAATATTTGAGGTCTCTACTTGTCAGAATTGATGAAAGGTTTGGTTTGATATGATTTACCCAATACCGCATAGAAATGCTGTGAGCCAGATACACAGTTAATTTTCTTCAAGCAACTTGTAGCTGCCATAAGCATGACCAAGTCCTTCATTTTTATTCTTCACTTCCCATTTTCTGTAGAATAGCTTCCTGTATCGAAAAGAGTGATTCAAACTTGGAGCAGTTGCGTTGTGCAAAATTAGTAAGATTGGAGTCTTAATGGAAAACCGGTTTGTTTAACTGAAGATTTTTATCACAGCATGTGTTAGTGAGGGAGTGGAGCTGCCAGTCTGTACAGGCAGGTTTATGTGTTTGAAATCTTGGACAGCCTGACTTAATGATGCTTTTAATGGATAATTTACATACAGAAATTGTTCTGTTTATATAAACACAATCCTCTCCCCTCAGAAGAAAAACAAACAAACAGCTTGTGCATGAACAACATTGACATCCATTTGATGTTTTGTAAGTCTTGAAATCTTGGGTGAACAAATCTCTGCACTATGGGACACTGAATACACTGAAAGGTGTAGTAGGTTGTTATTCAGTGTTACTGTCGAGGGCTGGGAAGGTGTATTCAGAGGAGGTAACGTGTATAGTCTGCTGAGTGCTAGGACTAGGGAAAGGTTTTGTTTACTCAAGATGCAGCTTTGTGTTGTGCTTAATCCAGTCACAGGTTTAGGGGTGGATTAGCTTTCTGTGAGGTTACTAAACTGCTCCAACTCATCCAGCTAGATCCGACAACAGAAGTATAGTCATGGAGCATGTGGATAGAGTTTTCATTTTGGCATGGTGGCTTGATGTAGAAGATAAGCCCTAACAAATTTCTGTGACTTCTGGGACTTTGAATATATTGAAATAAAATGTTGCCAGAGTTCTATAGGTGGACTAAACCTGGTCCTATTTTCAAGCATTTGTAATTTATGACTGTAAAACAAGAAAGTAACTAGAAGCATGTGAAGAATTTCTGTTCAGATGGCTAAATTTTAACCAGGGCTTTTGTTAGGATCTACACTTCTTTATTCATCATCACATACCGTTCATGTTAGCTCCATTCTCTTGCTTTCTATATAATCCATACCTGGCACAATCCCAGATAAGGACTAGTTAAATTTCTTTGTTATTGTTGTTGGAGATGCATCTGTGATGTACCTTTTGCTTGTGTAATAAATAATACATAAATGAGATTAATATACTTTCTGGCAATATACCTCGTTGTAAATTAGTTTTTGTTCCCAGGTTGTTTACTACCTGATGCCTAGTAGGTGTTTGGTTTTGGTTCCACTGACTGAACCGTGGTCTCGCTTCTGGCAGCCGGCATTTACCATCTTCTCAGCCCTTTCTTCTTCTGATAGAAGCATGGTGCTTCAATAAATGTTAGCAAAGGCTATGATTATGAGTTGGTTTCTTCACCTCTTTCTCTTCCAGCTGCCTTGGTAAAAGCAGTGGGTTGAGCAGGTTGAGTAAATGAGTTTGCAACACTTGGCCATTCCAAGGGACGTATTCCAAAGACCACAAGTGCCGATATAGCTGCTGTGCAAATAACGGGTTGTGTTTGTCTCCTGCAACTTAACCTGTGACAAAGAACCTGTCAGTCATCCTAGGCAGTGCTCTTTGGAGGAGCTTCCGAGAGACCTCATTTTTCAGTAGATACAGTCTAGCATTGCTGCTGGTGGTTTATCTGCAGATGGGAGGGAGCTGCCTGCCACCATGCTGATTGCTTCTTCAGCATGTTTTCTCCCTTCCTGACTCTTAAGGGCCCCAGGAACAGCTTTTCATAGGCTCTGGGATGTGGCTGGTTTCTAGAAGGAAATCAGATCAGTATGTTCTCATTTGCTAGTGCAATAACCATCGGGGGACCTTTATGTTTTGATTCAGGAAGAGATGAAATGATGTTCTTCAACCTTTTTTTTTTGACCTAAAACCATAAAATTCAGTGGTTTGTTTAAAAAATAAATTACAAAGTGGGTACAGGTTGGGCTACGTATATAAATCTTTATGTAGAATTATCTCCTTTCTGTAACCTTTGGGTAGTGTAGCTCAGATGTTGAACTGCCATCTGAATATTCATACCTGTGTAATTAAAATGTAACCATTTTCATCCACCTTGCAGTAGTTTCATTTCTATACATTTCCTGTGATAATTTAATAGAATGCATCTATGTTATAAAAATGTGTTTGTTTCAGTGCAGTACTTCTCTGTTTTGACAGTATGTCAGATGACGAACAGGAGAGTGGATGTGATACGGTAGATGGTTCCCCAACTTCAGATTCTTCAGGACATGACAGCCCATTTGTGGAAAATGGCTTCGTAGCTAATACCAATAAAAATAAGGAAACAAGAGCATCTGTTAAGCCTGAGAGCAAATCGGCTGTTTGTACGGTAGTGGTACCACCAATGAGACTTGAAAACAGGTTACACCTTGATGAACAGATGGTGAATACAGGTGAGTTAGTTCAGGTGTTTCTTTTTCTTTCTAGACCAGTAGATAAGAATAGAAACGTGAATATTTGTTCAATAGCCATACATACGGAGATTTTGACCTACTCATATATATGCTAATCTGTAATAAAGGCGTCCAAATTGTGTTGGGTTTTGACTTTAATTAGTGTATTATTATTTCTCTCGGTGTGCTGAAGCAAATGAAACTTTGTCTGACTTTTGTTGAAAGAGAATAGTGACAACAAAACCGTAACATTGTTCGTTTTGTATCTTGGAAGATGCTACATGCCAGCCACTAAAAAAGGGTCGGTCTGTCCTGGGAAGGATAAACCATTCTTCTGTTGTAGGAAACCGTCAGCAAAAACTGGCGTCAGCATTCCATCAGCAACATGCAAACTTCAGTCAGGTATGTATACTTGCTCACTTCTGAGAAGTACTTTTTCTGTCTTGAGGTTCCAAACGTGCTGAATGCTCAAATTTCAATTGCTGTTAATGGCAGCTGCAGGTTTTCAACAGCTTGATTACAGAAGTGTTCAAATCTTGAAAAATGGATTTCACCTTACTGGGCAAGTCATAAGGATCTTTCACTTCTGGTCATTTTCTTAAAGCAGCTGACTTCATTGTTTTAGGCTGATGGAGAAGCTGCACTGGGAAGAGTAGCAATGCCTGTATAAAATCAAAGCACGAGACAAAGTGAAAAATATTTTAATTTTTTTTTCTCCTACATCCAAATGTTAAAATGCCCAATAGTGCACGTTTAAAACATCTGTTTCAGTCTTGTTCTGTCAGTAGTGTGCATGACACTTGTAGTTTGAGTATCCAGAGATACGACAGAGCTCAGCAAACCCAACTGTTTCTTACTGTTGCTGCCAGGTAGCGAAGCTGGGGAGTGTGGTGAGAGGGGGAGAGGTTGTGATTGTAGTTCAATCCGATGTCGGAAGGCAGCCAAATTAATTTAAAAGCTACTTTTATAATTTCCCAACAATGTAATAGATGTGTCTGCTGTGGCTGAGAACTGAAGTTGAAGTTTAAGCCCTTTTTGATTAATTAATTTTGAGCTGTAGCTGTGCTGAGCTTTTGTTTAGGTATCTGGAGGTACATTTAATATAAGAGCAGTACCTGTTTGTCAAAGCCTTGCAGAATAACTGTGAATATGAAACTGTAAGTTAAATACTAAAGGCGAGCATGCTATAGGGAGATAAGAGGATTTACCAATAATCACTTGAATAGTTCAGACTGAAAAAAACATTTGGGTGGGTGACATGGTCTCCCCTTCTGCATGATAATACAGAAGGATTGGTTTAATTCTAAGCAAACCTTAATGTGATCAGCATAGTATTAATTTTTAATCTCTTCAATGACAGCAGCTCCTCAGCCTCTTGGCAGAAAGCATAGAACGTTATTTTCATTACAGAAATTTATGCTGATCCTTCCTTCTTTGGTAGATGCCCTGTGTAGTTTGAAGTCTGCAGCATTAAAAGGGAGTAATTGATTTTTAGTCTTTGTGTTTGTAACTGTTACTGATTGTCACATCCTCCTATGATCACAGTCCTAGACTTCTGTTTGCCTAGTTGTCTCAGATGTTTTCAATCCGTTTATTATTTTTTCTGCTCTCCTCTAAAATTTCTCTCCTATTTGTCCTCTTTGTGCCTCATTATGGTGCCCAAACTGAATGCAGCACTTCCAATTGATGCCAAGCCAGTGCTGAGTAGAGTGGAATAAGCACCTTGCTCATGTGATACATGGTATTTCTGTTAAAACAGCCCAGCATGGCATTTTATCTTTCTTTTTTCTTTTTTGTTTTTGCAAGAGCATTACAATAACTTGTGTTCTGTTCACCATCTCTTATTGTCAGATTTCGTCTGTGCTACTATCTAAATAGCTAATTTTCTTTTGTTTGTTTAAGCATTTAATTATTCCTGTCTCTATATTTCTCTTGATTTTAAGTTAATTAGTTTTAGTGCATTCTTCAGTTTTTTCAAGCTTTCTTTATACTTAGAAACGTTAAGATCTGCTCATTTCTCTGTGTGGACAGGTTCAGCACTTTGGATCTGGGCCGCAGGAGTGGAACGGGAACTACGCTCATCGGAGGCAGCAGGCATACATCCCAGCCAGCGTCACCGGCCACGCGTTCTCCCTTCCTCAGGGAAGTCCGAACCACGCTGCTGTGCACGCTCACCTCTCTGGAGGTCCCCACCTTGGAGGACAGCCTGCTCTGCTCCCGTACCCGTCGCCAGCACCCCTTACTACTGCTGCACCCGTTGCCCACCTCCTTGCCTCGCCATGTACCTCAAGACCCTTGTTACAACACCCAACGTACAACATAACTCATCCCAGTGGTCTAATACACCAGGTTCCAGTTGGCATAAATCCCCGTCTCTTACCTTCCCCAACCATTCATCAGACTCAGTACAAACCGATTTTCGCACCGCATTCGTACATTGCAGCATCACCTGCTTACACAGGATTTCCACTGAGTCCAACAAAACTCAGCCAGTATCCTTTTATGTGAGAACTCAAACACAATCTGTTGAGGAAGCTCAATGATACGGAAGTTTGATTTGAGAAGAAACATGGTATTTATTAAATATTAGCCATGGCACAACAGGAAAATTTTTTTTTTTTTTTTGAATCATGTAGACTTGGGTGCAATTTAAACAACTCTGAGCTTTAAAAAAACTCACTTTTAATGTGTTTTGCACATTTGGTATAACTTGTCTTTGGTCATGTTATCTTCTTATATAGTAACTTTAGACAGGTGACTTATGGGAGCAGAAACCTGGTTTTGCTCCTGCTATTTTTTATAAAATTGCCTTCTAACTAGTGCAAGACACGTCTACATTTGGGAAGCCATTCAGTGTACAGAACCAGAGCAACAGATGCACATGTGTCAGCAGTACAGTGTAGAAGTAACTTGTTTGTATCGCGTATCTTGGTGTTTAAATGTCGAGTCACTTATCTAAGAGTTGAGCTGTTTTTCACATTGCATGTGTCTTTTGCATGGGTGAAAAGGAAAAAAAAAAAGCCTAAACATTGCTCTTAAATGTTGTTGTCCTAATAATCTCAGCTGCATTGTAAACTGTTCCCACACATAGTGCCTTAAATATTTGAGGTTGTTAATGTTATTACTTACATATAAATGTTGAGGACTGCAGCACTTAAAAATTCAGATCTGCTGACTCTTTGGTAGCGTGATGCTCATTTTTTGGGTTTTGTGTGGTCTGATTTTAGTATTGGGTGTGTTTTCCTTACTGAGAAGGCAGCATGTTTTGCTGTAGCTGAATTTTGCTGTCTTTTCCCCCCCACCACCCCCAGAATGATCTAGCTTCAAGACAAGCCTTTAGTAGTGCTTAAGAAAAGTTGATTCAGTAGCTATTGAGTAGTGACACACAACACAGTATTTCGTACTGGTAAATGGAACTGCAATACAGCCTAAGTAGTTTATTTTACAAGTGTTTGTCTAATTGGATATAATAAAACATTTAGAGGTGCGGTAGGCATGACTGACTAGCTAAGGAAAGGAAAAGCCAAGTGCTCATTGATCCATGATGTGGTTTCATCTTAGCTTGAGCAAACCATGCAGTATTTAATAACTAGTAGCAGAATATTTACTGTTGAAGCTTGAAAAGATGTGAGTTCTTTGTGTGCAATCTTTCATTTATGCATGGGAGAGATTTTAGTCTTTTGACATGATGGTATTTGTTTTAGCCTGCTGCGGGTGTTTGCTTATTTAATACATTCCGTCAGGGACGTCACTTACATGCTTTTTGCATTACTTTTTTCCTTAGGAAGTGTGTCTTTTCGAGGTTTGGTTTTTTTTTTTTTTCCTCCTTTTGTTTGTTTTGTTCAAATGAAGTTGCTTTTGCAGCACCAAAGACTTAATCATCCATTTCCTGTAAAAGGTAGCTACTTTTTCATAGACCTCAAGTATCCTGTAGTGTAGAGATGGGATTTACAGAAGGTATTAAGCTGAGGCTGTGTTTTAGCTTATGGGCAAGTAATAAATTGTATCATTTTATCTTGAATGTATCATAGATAAGCTGCTATATAATGATTGCCACTTCAGATAGCTGTGAAATTAGGTGATTAACTAGTTCTTTCTTAGCCTTCTAATTTCTGTACAAGTCTAATTACATGAAATAGAAGCCGGGTTTTGGGTTTTGTTTTTTATTTTATTTTGTTTTCATGTTTGAAGTGTCGTAACTACTATACTGTAAATGATGGAATATGATTGCATATGTTTTTTTGGGGTGTGTTACTTGCATCAGTATTTTATCTCCATTAACTTTGAGCTCATCACTGCATATAAGTGGATGTATTGATATAACTTAATTTTTTTATGTTTTCATATTGGCATTGTGTAGACACTTCAGAAGCTGCATCTTGCAGGCTTGACTTAACTTTTTTTTAAACAAAATCTGGAATACAATCCTTACAACGTTGACTGGAATAAGAGTGCAAAGCATTTGAGTTTAACTCTCTCAATAAGCTAATAACTGGTAATCTTTTTCTTTACTCCACTAACGCAAGCAGTGTTTTATTTAATGAATGTCTGAATGAAATAAATGTGCCTACATTTGATTTATTTTTTAAGTAATAACTAAAATACGACAGTATTAGATCATTAAAAAATAATAAAAATACCAGCAGTACATTTTTAATCACACTGAAAATCAAGAAGCCTAACTTTTCCCAAAAGTTTCAGTGTTTTTAGTAATCAACTCTATGCATTTTGTACAAGTGTGTGTATATAAAGTATACATTAGCAACTAGGAGTATCCTGATGAATTTGAAATCGTATCAACACATACAGAAAGCCTAAATATAGGGAGTCAAGAAAATGCTCAAATTGGATATCCACCTTACCGCTTCAAACCTGTGCTGTGTGGTCCAGCAGATAGTTTTCTGTTCACTCCCTTGTGTTGGGAAGCGGCATGGTTTTGGTGCTCGCTCCATTGCAGGCAGTGGACACACCAAGAAGCACCAATGCAAATGGAGTAAATGAATTTTGTATTGTGGTTACAAAAAAAAAAAAAAAAAAAAAAAAAAAAAAAGACTGCATTTTTTTTTTTCCTGGGGCCATGGGGATTTTCATTGGTCTGATGTATTTACTGTATGTTCTTTTTACTGTGCTTAAGGTTTTAAGCTAACGTGCTTGTTAAATTGACACAATTATCTGTATATCACAAGAGAATCCTAGCGTACGCAGGACAAAGTTGCTGTAAATGTGCCCCAAATTCCATCTGC